TTTTCTCGCCGTTACTTTCCGTCAAGCTTTTGCATTTGGTTATTTCTGTGCATTTTTTTCTCTTCTTTTTTTCTTCCTTTTCGTAAGGCTTCTCGGATTCATTTTTTAAATTTATTTTGTTTTGTAGTTTTGTTTTTCATTTCTTTTTCCTTAGATTTTGGCTTCATTTTTTTCCCTATTTTGTGCATTTTTTCCTTCTTTCGTTCTTTCTTTTCGTAAGGCTTTTGGAAATCATTTTTTATGTTTGTTTTGTTTTGTAGTTTTGTTTTTCGTTTTTCTTTTCTTAAATCTGACTTCATTTTTTCGCTATTTTTTGATTCGGTTTTTTTTTCTCCCGTTTTTCTAGATATGTTAGTGTTTTTATAGATTTGGCTTCGTTTTTTCTTCCATTTTTTTTTATTCGGGGTTTTCCCGTTTTTCCAGATTTGTTAGTGTTTTTGCTTCGTTTTTTTTCCTGTTTTTTAAATTCATTTTTTTTTTCCATTTTTCCAGATATGTCAGTGCTTTTGTAGATTTGGCTTCATTTTTTTCCCGGTTTTTAATTTCTGTTTTTCCAGATCTATTAGTGTTTTTATTTCCAGATCTGTTATTTGTTAGTGTTATCTGTTAGTTTTTTTCTTGTTTTTTGATTCAGTTTTTATTTTCAGATTTGTTTTGTTTTAGTACTATTGTATAGTTTCTTTTGATCTGTTCTTCGTTCCCCCTTTTTTTTACCGTTCGGAATAGATTTCGTGTTTTTTTTTTGTCGATTTTTTAAAATTTTGTTCTGTCAAATTTTTTACTTCTATTTCATATTGAGGTTTTGTTATTTCTTTTTTTTTCTTTCTTTATTTTATTTCTTTTTTTATGTTTGGTGGTTTACTTCTTCGAAATAATCCATTTTCCTTTTATTTTTTTCCTTCTTTTCTCTATTTCAGTTGTTTTTTCATTAGGTCTTGAAAATAATCTATTTTTCTTTTAATTTTTTTCTCTTTTCTCTATTTCGGTTATTTTTTATCCATTTGTTGGTTATTGTGTTGTCTAACACATGTTTTTACTAATTATTACATGTTTTCATATTTTTTTGCAGGTTATATTAGTCGGGAATTCTTAGACATTTATTTTTAGTGCAGGGTAATTTTTTCTAAGGGATTATTTTGTTTTCACTGTCTGGAGGTTATTCGTTATGTTCCGCGGTTAGTACAATGCAGCGTAACACCTGTTATTAACAAATTATTACGTTTTGTTTGCAGCATAACAGCGGTAGTATTAAGTTTTCTTTTTAGTATTTGCTACCGCCATATGCTCAAAAGTTTATTTTCTTTGTATAAATATATTGTTTTCTCTTTCATGCTTACTGTCTTTTGCTTTGTTTCTATTTTTGTTGTCATACACTTACCGTTTATCTTCTCTGTTTTCTTTCTTTTCTTCAATTTTCAATAGTGAGTTTTGTTTCCCTTTTCTGTTATCTCTGTTTTGGAGTTTTTTTTTTTACTTCTCATGCATCAACTCTATCCACTTTTGTTATTGCTCTAAGGTACTCATTTCTTACTTCTTCCACGTTATTTCTATCTACTTTTAAAATTGTACATATTATATTACTATGATTTTTTAACTGTACATATTGAGTTGTTAATATATGTATTCACTGTTTTATGTTATTATGATTATGTTTGTATTAAATTTGTTAATATTATTTGTAAAACATTCTTTAGTGTTTATATATATAATCTGTCAACACTCTGTTTTCTATCTAATGTGATTTCTCATTTGGTAATGATGTAGTATTTTTCTTTTATTGTTACCATGTATTAAATAACTATTTATAGTGATTTAGCAAGCTTTGACGTTGCCTGAATTATTTAAGATTTATGTTCTTTTATTTATCCTGTTTTGTCAATAGTATATTACTCTTATTATCATTTTTTACTCTAAAATGGTTTGCTCTTTATCTGATTTACTGAAGGGTTTTCATTCTATTCTTTTACTACTGCCTCTGTTGTTGGTTCGCCAGTTGAACTCATTATTATGTTTATGAAGTTTTTGAGATTTTATTTACTTCCTTCCTTTTTTACCACTGCAATATTTCTTCTTTTTCTATTCTCTTTGTTTTGTTCTCAAATATTTCAGTTAGTCTTCTGGGATTGATTTGTTTTGTTTTCAAATATTTGAGTTACTTTTTAGACATTGGTTTTGGTCTAAACCATTTTTCTCTTTTACTATTATATTTTTGTTTCGTTCTTTTTTTCTTAATTTCTTTTTTCCTTCTTATTCTTCATAAATCTTTTTAATTATTCAGTTGGTATTGAAGGGCATTGTTAAATCTTATTTCAGTTATTTCTAATGCGTGATGTTAGCAATTAAAGGCAAATACCTGAACCAAATTGTTTATATTTGTCTATTTAATTTCCCCATGTATTTCTTTTTTACTATTATTCATGTAATCTACTATTTTACATAAGATTTTTGATATTTTATCCTTCTTATTTTTCTTCATGCTATGTTCCCCTTGATTTTTTACCACTATAATATTTGTTGCTTTCCTGTTGTCATTGTTAACGTTAAAAAGAAACTTTTAAGTTTTAATTTTTAGTTTTTTAACATTTTCTTCAATATTTTCATATTTTTTTCCTTCTCAAATATTGCAGTCACTCTTCAGAAAAAGGTTGTTTCTGAAAATTCCCTTTGCTCTAAGGTACTTCTTTCTTACTTCTTCCACGTTATTTCTAACTGCTCTTAAAATTTTTTGTATTATATTACTATAATTTCTTAAGATTATATATTGAGTTGTTAATATATGTGGTAACTGTTTTATGTAATTACAATTATGTTTGTATTAAGTTTGTTAATATTATTTGTAAATTATTGTTTAGTGTTTATATTACGTAAGTTATTGTTATTTGAGTAAAAATTAGATTTCTATTTCTTTTTGTTATATTAATCTGTGAACACTTTGTTCTCTATCTAATATGATTTCTCATTTGGTAATGATGTAGTATTTTTATTTTATTGTTACCATGTATTAAATAACTATTTATAGTGTGATTTAGCAAGCTTTGATGTTGCCCGGATTATTTAAGATTTATGTTGTTTTAGTTATCCTATTTTGTCAACAGTATGTTGCTCTTATTGTCATTTTCTACTCTAAAATGGTTTCTTCTTTATTTGATTTTACTGAAGAGTTTTCGTTCTACTCTTTTACTCTTGCCTCTGTTGTTGGTTTGTCAATTTAACTCATTTTTATGTTTATGAAGTTTTTGAGATTTTATTTACTTCCTTTTTTACCACTGCAATATTTTTTTTTCTATTGTTTTTGTTTTATTCTCAAATATTTCAGTTAGTCTTCTGGAATTAATTTGTTTTGTTCTCAAATATTTGAGTGACTTTTTTGGGATTGGTTTTAGTGACGGTTATAAATACCCTCTGACGTTTTTTATATTTGTCTCCACTATTTATGTTGTCTAATCTTTTTTTCTGTCTTTAGTACAAATCCTCTAATAATTTTGTTGGTATATGTTGTTAGCAGTAAAACATAGATACCTAAACTATTTTTTCCTTTTACTATTCTATTTTTGTTTTGTTCTTTTCTTCTTAATTTCTTTTTTCCTTCTTATTTTTCATAAATCTTTTTAATAATTCAGTTGGTACTGAAGGGCATTGCTAAATCCTATTTCAGTTATTTCTAATATGTGATGTTAGCAATTAAAGGCAAATACCTGACCCGAATTCTTTATATTTGTCTATTTAATTTCCCTATCTATTTCTTCTTTAGTATTATTCATGTAATATGCTATTTTATATGAGATTTATGAGATTTTATCTTTCTTCTTTTTTTTTGATGCTCCTGGATTTCTGAATTGAGAGAAATATTGAGAGAGATCAAGAATTCTCACTATTTCTTAGATTCATGGACTCAATTGAATTCAGTGGTAAATATTGCAGTTACTCTTCAGAGAAAAATTGTAATTAAAAATTCCATCATATATGTTGTTACCAATAAAAGATATAAAACCTGCACCATTTTTTTCCCCTTACTACCTTTTTCTAACTTTCTTTTTAATGCACAAGACATTTTTATGTGACATTTACAGTTTCATTGTAAATAATATGTAAACAAGGTATGTTACTTCCATAGAATATTCAACATTTGGAAATGGAACAATGTTATTACAATGTATCACTATCAAAATTTCATATACAAAAGTATAATTGTAGAAATATAAACATATCTTTATCTGACTTTACTGAAGGGTTTTTCTTCTACTGTTTTACTGCTGCCTCTGTTGTTGGTTTGCCAATTGAACTCATTTTTATGTTTATGAAGTATTTGAGTGGGATTAGTTTCAGTGACGGTTGTAAATGCCCTTTTATGTTTCTTATCTTTGTACTATTTATGTTGTCTGATCTTTTTTTCTATATTTAGTACAAATCCTGTAATAATTTTGTTGGTATATGTTGTTAGCAGTGAAACATAGATACCTAAGCCATTATCTAATTTTATTAAACGGTTTTCGTTTTATTCTTTTACTCCTGCCTGTTGTTGGTTCACTAGTTGAACACATTTTTATGTTTATGAAATTTTTAAGATTTTATTTAGTTCCTTCCTTTTTTATCACTGCGGTATTTCTTCTTTTTCTCTTATGTTTTTTTATCTTTGTAAACAATATGTAAACAATATGATATTTACAGTTTCATTTTTAGGACATCTTTATATAAACAATGTAAACAATATGTAAACAATGTATGTTACTTTCATACAATATCCAACATTTAGAGATAAAATAATGTTATTACAATGTATCACTATAAAAATTTCATATATAAAAGTATAATTATAAAAATATAAATATATATTATTTAAATATTAATGTGAATGTATTGTAAATATATATATATGAGTGTTTTTATACATTTTTTTAATTTAAATTACTGTTAATTAAACTATTACATATCTGTGCATTTGCACGGATAATCCACTAGTTTATAACTAAAAAAAGTGAAAGAAAATCTCGAAATTTAGACCAAAGTAAGAATCTCTTCCTACCCAAAACACTCCACTAATTTATAAGACGTCTAAAGATATCCAACCCATTACAAAGTTTACACTATACAGAAGTTGTTAAACTCCTTTCACAACGAAACTAGAATGATGGTCGAGAAAATCAGAAGCAACAGATTAACAGAAACAGAGAAATTATGAACTGAATTAGTTGAAACTTTTTCGGAGCCTGTCATATCTGTCTTGGCGACAAAAACATGTTGTACTGTCCTAGCTGAAGCAGGTTTAGGCATGTCACACAAACCAATACCCGAACTAAACGAAGAATCCAAATAGTCTTCCAAACCACTATTGGCACCAAAACAAAGACCCGAATTGTTGTAAAGCCTAAGCTTTCTCCTCATCCTCCAAACCATTTCTCTCCCGAACGGAACTTGCCCGGTTAAAGAATTGTCGTTTAGTCTCAGCTCGCTCAGATTTTTCAGCTCTCGGAAGCTCGCAGGGACAGAACCGTTGAGGCGGTTCCCGTCGAGATGAAGAACGCGAAGGTTCGGTATATTGCCGAGTGAGGATGGAATAGGACCGTGCAAGTTCATGTTTGAGAGAACTAAGATCATCAAACTTCTCATATTTTCGAACGCGTTGCTTGGAATTGTGTGGGATCCCATTGGGTTACCTTTGAGAATCAGAGCTTGGAGGGAAGTTAAGCTTCTCAGCGAGCCCGGAAGTGGGCCCGAGAGGCGATTGTAGCTCAAATCCACGAGGGTGAGATCTTTCAAGCCGTTGATCGAATCGTGTATTGAACCGGTCAGTTGATTGCGGCTTAAATCGATCTTGATAAGGGAACTGCAGGTTGAAATGCTCGGTGGAATCGAGCCCGTCAAAAGATTTTGGCTTAGATTGATTATGCTCAAAACAGGGGAGCTTAAACCGGGTATTGAACCGGTTAGTCTATTGCCGCTTAAGTCTAACGACCATAGACCGGTGATCCGGTTCAATGAAACCGGAATTGAACCGTTGAGATTGTTGTTGTGGAGATCGAGAACCCGCAGTCGAGTAAGGTTACCCAATTCGGTTGGGACATGACCCACGTGGCCGTTTTCTCTTAGCACCAAGGTTTGTAAAGATGGGCCCAACCGGCCCAAGAACGAGGTGATTGGCTGAGGGTTGTGGGTCAAACAGCGGTAGAAAAAGAGTGTCCTAAGGTGCGGAAGCTTTGTGATGGAAGGTGAGATGTATGACCGGGTCGGGTCGCATGTCGGGAATGCGGTGTCATCGGATAGTGCTCCGAATGAGAGCGAGACTATATGGAATACGTTGTCCTTGTCCGGCATGCACTCGATGCCGTGCCATCGGCCGCGGCAGACATCGGGGATGTCGGTGGCCCAGTCGTTTCCTGTTGCTCGCATGATATCGTAGACCGCTTCTTGCTCAGCAGGGTCGGTTCGGGCCCCGTTTGTGTTCATTGAGAACCCCGTTTGAGGCCCGTCAACAAGGACCGACGGTACGTCGGAGTCTGACATTATGACGGTGAAAGGCTTAGAAAGTGGTAGAAAGCACAAGAAGTACAAAAGAAATTGGAACATTTTTGGTATGAGATGTGACAAAATGAGTGTCATTTTGGGAGAGTGCTGCAAGTAAGAAACGGTTGAGTGAGAGGCATTACGAGGGGTTTGTGTTATAGTTATAGGGGAGAAGGGACTTTAATGAGATTTGATGGTTGGTGAAAGGAATGAAGTAAACTAATTATTGAGCTCACGGGAAATGAGAGGAACTTGAAATAAATGTATGGAAATTTGTGCATTAATGTGTTCACGGGATCTATGCTCTAAGGTTTTGGGACCCCAGTGTGAAGTGTGCTAGTGCTATCCAGTCATTATCTTATGCTGAACTGGAGGAAAAATTCATATATAATTCGGTTTGCTAATGTTTTGATTGTCTCTACAATTAATATAAACGTAAGAATGAAAAAGGAAAGGGAAGAAGATAACATGAATTTAGGGTAAATTAAATTAAACTCTCATGATTTTAGTGACGAAAGTTTGCGTACAACTTCAAAAGAAATCATCACACATAATTTGACATGAATGTAAATTATACTGCTAAATTCCCCTTTCGAGGTGGATTGTGTTAATGTGAAATAATGGTATTCAGAATGGCGTTATTTAGAATGACTCTACCCATAACAGCTGCAGTATATTTTAGGAGTGCGACCCTAAGTCAGGGGTGGGGCAAGGTGTGCGATGGTACACGAATTTTAAGTTATCAAAAACACGTGCGGAGAAGGGTGGTAATAAATCCACTCTTTCTTAAAAGGAAAAAAAAATTACAACATAAAACATCCACTAAAAACTATAGACTATTTGGATGTTTGGTTTATAGATTTAGAATTATGATTCATGATTCTGATATTTAAAATTCAAATTTTTTATGAGAGAAAAGCACTGTAGAGAAATAAAAATCATGATTCAGAACTAAAAACGAATCCTTGAAACAAACTTCCCGTATATTATAGAGGTATGCACACAACAATTTCATTCCAACCAAATTACTTTACGCATCATACGAGGCACATATAAAGATGGGAATAGGCTACTATCTTATAACAAATTAAACAAAAAATTTTGCAGCAGAAAGTGATCAGAATCACAAGTTCGTCAAAAGCCCCTTATCTGAGGTAGAGTTGACAATAATCGTGTAGATATTAATCTCCAGCTCAAGCTACTCATTCTCATCATCGCTTTCAGATACTCATGAATACAGGCGGCTATATCCTCTTAGCGTGCGATTCCAGACCTTAACATAAGCAAGCTCATAATAAAATTCTTCATCATATATAAATGCTCCATCAAAAGTATACCGCAAAGATTTAATCATGTCACGACATCTTTCCCGCAAATTACCCTTCATCCTTAAATTAAAACAACAGCCCAGGTTAAGTGATTCGAGATGAGGACAACCATCAAGAATAGCGCGCAACCCGATGTCAGACAAACTGTTTCCAATAAGCTCCAGGCGACGTAATTTAGGAAAGTTTTCTAGCAATGGCCAATGCACTCCTCTAAATTCCTCTTCCATATCAGGACTCATATCTAAGGAGAAGCAATAGCCTAGGCCGTTAAATTTCAGTGTTTCTAGACGAGGGCAACACTGACCAACAGCTTCGAGAACTTCTGCTGAGAAGTTTCCTCTAAAAAGTTCAAGCTCTTCCAACAATGGAAGCTTTGCAACCACTTGATCACTCAATGTGTCATTTGACATGCAAGAGCAACGACGATCCGAAGGCGTTTGATCTTACCCGATCTGTTGAAATGATTAACTCGTGAACAAATTAAGGGTTGCATAGCATAAACAGGGTAAATTAACCAAATCTTAATGAAAATTGTTGCACCGACTTCTATCTATATGAAATTTATTGGAATGAAGAGATTAAAGTTTCAACACTGACATTTTTAAACTTGTGATCAAATAAACAATTGTGTTTGAAGAATCCCGTGACTTCCATAATATGTACAGGCATTTTGAGTAGTACATCTCACACAAAAGTGAATGTCGTGATCATTCTTTTGAAGAAGAGACTTATATTAAACATGGTTATTAGACTAATAAGCTTCAAAGTTTTTTTGATGCACCTGCCTAGCCAGTAACTAATATTCTCTATACTTAGATATATGAGGTAAGTGGTTGAGTCTAATCTACTAAGCGAAAATCCCAACATAGTCATGTCTATTCAAAAAGGGAAATGTCGCGTCAAGTATATTTTAAGCCCCGTTCATTTTACTGATTCGAGTTTAGAATTTGAATTTTGTTACAGTAAAAAACTCTCAGAAACAGTTGTTGGGAATAGTGTCCTAGAAGCATGAGATGTAATAAGATATTTATTATTTAATTAATAAAATAGTTTATTCATCATTTTATGTGCATATATTTATGAATATTTTATGAATATCAAATGAAAATTCCGTGATTGTTTATGTAACCTTAAACATAGTATATAAGTGTTATATACTAGAGGATAGTGTTTAAGGATAATAATAAAAAACGTTGTTCATGATGAATTTAATTAAAGTTTGGAATCTTTAATTAAAACATTATTAATACATGTCATTTCCATTTAGAATGGAACGGTGTTATCCGCATTGTTAATATGGTGAGATATTGAATGAGTGTATTTCGCATAATAAGATTATGTGGAACAATGACACAAACACAATATGAATTTCTAATAATTTCCGTTAAGCATAGAAATTCTGATTGAGTCTACCGATGGTCATATATAGGATGATCTTAATCCTGAGTTCTTAACAAACTCCTATTTATGGATTTATGTCTTTTGATTTACTCGGTACGGATTCTGAGACCCTGAATCCTATTCCTTGTATTTTGGAGACAAAATGAAATAGGTAGCTGGGAATGTTATTGTACGAGATGGAATCCATTCATTATTGAGAAAGAAGTAGATAAATAATTCTCTTGAGTGTTAATTCGGTACTTGGATTAGTAAGAGCGCTCTGGTTCATGAATGTGTTTTATGAATCACTATCCATTAGAGAATCAATGGTACTCAAGGATGCA